CTGAACAGGCCACGCCTCTAACTGTGCCGTGCGTTCGGGCAAACCGTTAATTATTCATAAATTGAGTCAATTTGTGTAGTTTTCTTGATTTATTCTGCAGATATAGTTAAAATATAGGTAAGGCCTTGGCGAAATTTGAAAGAGCAACTAATATTCTACAACCTGGTATTTTTTTTAGAATTTATTTTTCGAGTTTAAAAAATATGGGATGGCTGGAGCCTTCATCCCCTGTCTATTTCTTACGCTAGATCCCAACCGATACCCCCCCCCCGCTCACAGAGAATGCGTACATTTGATTATAGTTCCTGGGCTCCTTGTGTTATAACATAAACTTTCCATACCGATTCTGATTTCTTTCATCCAGTACCATATTATACCAGGACTCGGCATTTCCGGGTGGATCCACGGTGCTGGTACACCCAAGCTACTCGAACATGACTCACACGCCAATGTACCATACAACGACGGTGAACTTCGGTTTCGCGTTGTGAACAGACTCTCTCCCTTGTCAATGTAGGGGATAATGCTTGATATACTGTCATCGGACGTTTCATCCCATGCACTATATTTGCAAGCCATAACCGAACCTTGTTCGAAGTCTACATCTGTAAAATTACACGTTTTGTCGGCTACCCAAATACCACCCCAGGAATTATTGCTGCTTGCTTCTAGGCGATACTGTAATTAGAGGTTATTCGCGATTAATTACAAAAGATTACGAGTGTTATTTCGAAAAACAGTGGTAATACCAACAATAAAAGACCATGAACAATTTTGTAAAATGGCATGTAGATATTTCGAAGTACTTTACCACCATTCTCCGCTGCTAGCTTTGAAGCAGCTGTCCTAAAATTTTCAATGGTATTTTAATCATATATGCAAATTCAAGTTGCTTAACGACCAGCATACTCTTTTAATTTACGATTAGATAAATTTCATCCAGTTTTTATAGCACATTCTATTATAAGGGATTGGAACCCGTTCTGTTCTGCAGCACGAAAATCCGATTTCAAGACGAATAAGTTTGACCTTCGTACTCGGATATTTTGAGTATGTAAAACTTCCCAAAGATGTAATTAAATCGTGTTTATGCCATTTCACAGTTATTTAGAAATACGTTGAGTGTGTGAATGCATAATATATAATTTCTCTAAAACAGGATTGCATTTGTGTTTCTTGATATATATATTATGGTTAAATCTTATACAACTTTTATTGTACAATTCTATCAGGCAGTGGAGGATGGTTGAAAATGTGTATTAACTACTTTAACAATTTATAAACTTAAGTCACAAGAGTTCACAACTGAACAATATTTTAGTTTAGGAATTTGCATTGTGTTGTATTTGATGAAGAAAATTGAAATATGAAACATTCCCAACAAGAGCTTTCAAAAGCGTTGTTACCTTGATATTATCATGTGACATTCCATATATAACAGCCATGACGTAATACATTACCAACAATAATGCATGTGACGTGACTGGTAATCTAAAGTTCATACAAAAACGCACACACTTCGAAATCTAAATCCAACAACTGTGCAAAGGCGACTATACTTAATTCAGAAACCGCACTTGTCGTAAAACTAAAGGTCAGGATTACTACTCTTGCAAAAAAGTGGTACTGGTTTGTCTCTGGCTCTCATGTTTTGTTTTGGTGCATGGGTGGCCGTCATGTATCTCAGTTGGTAGTATGTGATTTCTCGTTATTTTAATGTTTGAAATGTGACATATATTAATACCCACACGGCATCCCAGTCATTCCAATAAGAACTTTATAACAAATTTTCTTGAGCGAGTAACCACAATATTTCTACCGATGTGTGGTGTTCAATTTTTACTTACCAGTATCTTATCCATGACTGTACAATCATTGATCATATCATCTACATACTGTAGTATCGAGTAATCATCTGTCAAAGAGGGCGTCCCACTGTTTTTATTCATAAATTCACCAACCGTGAAACCATTATGCGTGACACTCGTCATTAGCAGTGTCCAACCACCACCATCTCGGGTCATGTCGCAATATACTTGATGAGGTTCGAAATCAACGGATAGTGGACCATCCCCGAAATTATTCATTATAAAAGAGTCGGCACACGTCTTGTATGTTATGCATTCTGTCAACACAAAAAAAGATATTACTGAAAGAATTCTTGTCAGAAAATTCAGCGTCATAAATTGACACTATAGGACGAAGCACTGTGACATGTTTATATTTTAGCCGAACAGCAGGCGAATATCATTCACCGACCAGCACTAGCTCACCATATGTTGTGATGACAACGTTGCCTATATATAGTTTTATGTTTATTTAAAGCGGGAGGGTCGTCACCTGCGCACGCACGGGAATTGAGTCCCAAGCGACGATAACAACACACGCTAAAAACGCAAAGGCTCATGGGTATACGCTTGTTTGTAAACAATGACACGCTATGGCCATCTGACGCATGAGCAGGTTACGACTCCCCCGCTTTAATACCAACAGCAGCGAACAACGCTGTTATTTTATGTTCAACACACGCGCACGCTCGCAAATTCTAAACAAATGCGACAGACTATAAAGGAAAGTGCGCAAATGTTGTAAAACAACTGTTGTCACACCCAAGAAACGTGGTAATTAAAATCACGAATTTGACTATAGTTTAAAACAACCACTATATGATATCTTCTGTTAAGTATAGAACGGCAAATTCGTTCAATGAATCCTATTTAAATTGGCTCCATACCTTGCATACACAATTGCTTGATGCATACATTAAATCGCTTAAACTGGCTATTCAGGCAGAGTCTGACAACTTACAACTTACAACTCTGGTTGACCTGCATCTGCTCTACATTCTACATCACAGAGAAATATATTATACACATTTTTTGGAGATTATCCCAAAGAACACTTGAGGATTTGAGACCGAACACGTGGTTCTAAGGCCAACGTAACACAGTGAATAATTTGCATACAAATTAAGTCCACTGTGGTCGGTTCATCATGGTACATGGGGTATAAAGCATTCCTGGCCGAGATGACATTAGTTTCATGAGAACTTGCCTATATCATATTCAAAAAAAGTAAAAAGAACGAACATAAACAGCAAAAAGCAATTTGTTAATTCAAGTAAAATTATTTGGAAGAGGAGTACATAATCCTTACAATTCATCTGCATCAATCACTAAATACATTGATATTAAAATCTGCGTATCTGTGCAAACTTGACAAATTAATATCGATACTCACATAATGTGATTGCAACATGCAACAAGAAAATAACATAATGTATAATATTATATTTCTTTCAAACTGTTTCTACAAAATGATCTAATGTTTAGTTAAGTATATATCATGGATATGGTTATATACTGTTGGTTTCATTGTGCATTGATTACAAACAGAAGGTACTTAATTACTCAAACACTGAAGTGTGTGTGAAGTATTAAATAATTGCATCACGATAAATTTGTATTGATATTGCGTGCGTAATCGTATTATTTATAGTTTATTTTGGTACGGCTTAATTACAGATTTAATTCAAACTAGTGTCACATTCATCTCTACATACCAGTGGTTTTCATCCTTTCAGTGGCAACCTATCTTTTTTATTCTATAATATTACGGACAAACGCAATACCCCATACTGAAACCCCCTCGCTATATATAGAATAGTTACACCAGGCTTTATTTGATTTGATATCTACAATAAAAAAACTGCAAACGATCTTTATGGAAGTGATATCATATAATCATTCAATGTATCTAATGCGTGGTTAGGTTGACCGCATAATACGTATTGAAAAAATTTAAAATTTATAAAATCCATGCACCTTTAACATTACAATATAAAATAAATTTCCGATTATTTTTTACTTAACTGTGTCGTAAGTGATATTAATTATTCTACTAATGTCCCAACCGTTTCCGGACAAGAATTATCATACTACAGAACTGAACGGGAATAGCATAGTCGATATTATACTCCAATAATTCGCCACACATCGTATGGCATTTCAGAATTGAAATTAAATTCCAAATACACGCAACTATCACAAAAGATCGTTAAAACTCACAACACCTCTTTATCAATTTATTTAATTTACTTTAGATATCCGTGAGAAATTTAATCGCACAGGAAATCAAAACTTACGTGATAATGTATTAAATTAAATTGCCACTAGCAATGAATAGATGTATCGATGCGAAAACACGCCAATTGAAACGGTATCTGGTATTATCATGCAAACAAATTAATATACAGATCGATATAAAATTACCAGTGTAAAATCATAATGTAATTAAAAATATAATATAGTTTGCCTTTTTCCTACTAATAAATAAAGAACATAGTGATCAACGTGGACCTTCAACCCTTTGTTCACTTGATTGGGCTTTTCATTTCCTTAGTACAGTTATAAGCAGCTTACGATTGTGCACATGTTAAGAATATTTTGTGACCGGTTCAAAGAATATTGTGTATACCGAAAACGAAATTAATTATACACTAAATTTTATTATTCACTACTCTATAATACTCGATTTATGGGAAGAAACGAATTTCGTTGTAAACAAGAGCTTATCTTTGGGGATATACTAGTATGTATGTAACTTATGTGTTGATTACTCATTAATGTTTTGGATTTCTCAAACATGCAACAGTAATTCCAATATAATTCCAATTTGCATTGAATAGTTAGTCTAGGATTACGAAACACTGACATTTCACGTCAAAGGAAAAACTATATACATTATATATCCGTTCAATTATTATTGTAGCAATTAATAAATTAATATTAAGCTAATAAAAAGTGGTATTGATATGTGAACTAAAATCGTACACATCATGTTTTAGCTATCAATAGTGTTTAACATATATCATTCACAATTATCTGATTCACCCCTGATTGATTGTTTTGATATTACTCGCCCTTGGGCAACTGCTACACTGTATTTGTGGTCTCACTCCAATCAAGAAGAAAACATGAACCCTCAAATATCTATATTCAATGTTCGGAATTGTGCCATATGTAATTATTCTATGTTCGGGTTCGTCACATGGTGTACGTAATTTTATTGAATGTACCTTCCATACATAGCATGTCACAATAATACTAGAGAAAATGAGTAGAAGTATGTAAGTATATATATATATATATATATATATATAT